ATAAAAAAGTGGACCCCATCTCTATGTACATTTATTATGTATTTGTAGCATTTTTATAAAAAAAAATAATAAAACAACTAATGTAAGTATAAATTACGCAATCCGTTAATTAAAAATATATATAAACACTCCACAACGTGTAATATATAATTTAAATTAAATAAATATCCTTAATTTGTGGAATAAACCATTGAAAATATATTTAACCTGTTGAATTGCTCGTACAAGTACCTCGGTGCATACTTTCGCAATCCATGATAAAAAAAATACAATTTTAGTTGCATAACACAAAAGTTTGCCTTGCAGTATGGATCAACCATGGGGTCTAACAATGAAATTTATTGTTGGGACCGGTAAAGATATCGCTAAGTACAAGTCGGGAATCAAACGTTCAACAATAACCTATGCGCAGCGGATTCTAAGGTTTAAATATGAATACTTACAACTTAAAAATTCACAGACTCTAAGAGTTGTAGATTTCCGTTGAGATCGTCTGATTCCTCTCGCCAGAAATCACCTCGTAGGATGTCTCGGAGTTGCCGGAGCGTACGCGCGACAGTCGCAAGTCTCGGTTGGCGCGGGTCGCTCGTCGCAACGTAGCGTGCGGATACTCGGGTCGCGGTGCAGCGTGCGCTGATGGGAAGCAGCAGTGGGTCGAGCACGGTGGTCGTCGGGGTCGATGCGCGAGCGGGTTGCGCATCTCGACTGATCGCACACGGGGCTGCAACATACGATTAAGGGTCGCGCGGGTGTGCGGTGGCGGTCATCGGGGCTCGACTACCTCGAGGTCTTTTGTCGTATTACCGACACCTCTCTTGTTGTCTTCGTGGGCAACAAGCTTGGAGACGAACTCAAGGGAACTAGGGCCGACGGAACAAGTGTGTTTTATTTCACGATGCGTGTCACCTCTCCCAATCCCACGAGTTGATGGTGTATTTATATGGCTACAGTAGGGACCATAAGAGGTGATGATATGGGCTTCTTAAGTCTTGAGCGTAACTGTGGGCCAAGCCTACTCTGCTCAACGACTTAAATAATGTTTCGGTCCACTAACGAAACATTATTTCACTTCCTCTTCATCTTCGAATTATGTTCGAGACTCCAAAAATAATTACTCGAGTTATTTTCACATGTTTAAAATATAATGTACGTCAATTAATTTAATTATCGGCAACCAAATTTATCGACATCTTCAACAGAAGCTAGAACCACTCAAAAAATTATTATTATGTCGGAATTTAATTCACCTGAAAGGTCTAACATAATAATCCTTCATGAGCTCACTTCGGGGACAACATCCGATTAAGACACATGGTGACCATAAATATTCGAGCAACACACCATACACATAGCACTACTACCCAAAACACGAAGAATATTGACCCAACGGAATGAATCTTACTTTTAGTGAATCAAAGTAGTAACTACTTTATGCATGTGTATATTTATATATTACGAGTTAAGAAAACGAAGTAATTAACTGAGGCATAGCTCGTTTACGACGATCATTATAAACGAACTACTCCTCTTTGGGATCCATTCAATACACCAAGTGTACTAGTGCAACTAATCATTGAAGACCAAGTATACAATTGCACTATAACCGTTCTGATGGTTTGTTCATTTCCGTCCATGTTGTGAACCAATCGTTTTTGTTTCGCAGATTACTGATAAAATGATCTTCTACCACTCGTGATGAACCATTTTATCTAAATATAAAACAATAGAACATTTCATGCCGAGCATCTTATAATCGTCAACTTTTTATATATAATTTTTTTTATTATTTAAATATTTAATTTATGTAATTTAATAAATAAATAAATTCGTGCATCTGTAGAACTGAGTTATTCACTATTAAATAAGAAAAGTGGGATACATAAGAAAAGTGGGATACAAAAGAAATTTTACAAGAATTTTCTTACTAGCAGCAGTTCCTTCGAAAACCCTTTCATCCACATAAGCCAAGAAAAATATCAAAAGCTGTCCAATGGCGAACGCTGAAGCCGAGGCGGTTGATTTCGAGCCGGAGTATGACGATCTTATGGACGAGGATGTTGGCGACGGTTCCCCCCATCGTAACGGCGCCTCCGCTATACCGCGGCTAAGGTCTGCCATTGCTGGTGGCGGCTCGTCATCGGCTCCTAAGAAGACTAAGGGCCGTGGGTTCCGGGATGAGGCGGCAGCTGAAGCCGACCGCAGCGTTCGGATGTCTGCGCGATTTGACTCGCTCGAGTCTGAAGGAGGCCCCGGGCCCGAACGATGTATGTATCCAAACCCTAGCATTTCTAGTCTTAATTCGATTGTGGCTTCATTCTGTGTTTTTTTTTTTTTTTTGTTTTGTTTTTGGATTGGTTAATTTTCTTGCATTTGTGATTTGTGATTTCTTGCTAAGATGAAACGAGAAATGAATGAATGTGGCACAAATGTATACCATTTCTTATAGTTTTTTTGCACAATGTTTTATTTTAAAAAAACTATGTAAGCTGTATATTTACAGTAAGGTATGCATAAAGTCGATGGGCGGCGTGACATAGCTATGGTGAGACAGGGGTGTCCTGATTTTAAGATCTAATTTTTCTACCACAATGAAGTTTTGATTTCATAATTTTCATTTTTGTACAATAATGTATGCCTTGGGTTATATATTCAATCTTTTTATTAGCTAGTTATATTGGTTTATATTTCTAGTGTCGTGGTTGTTGAATGAAGACAACTTGGTTAGCTTTGTTTGGATAGCCATCGAAAAAAAATGTCTATTTTTGTTATTAGTGATGAATAATGAATTGTATCATTACAGTTGGAGGGAAAAGAATCTTTGAGCTTGATAATGAGTTGAAAATTGTTGCTTAACTTTATGGTGTATTAGATTGACATCATACATGTAGACTCATATTCTTTATAGTGCCAAAAACACTGTCGTGTGTTGGCAAGATTTAGTTATAGAGGCAATATATGTTATATGGCATCCTTACTATCTGCTCTAAGATGTTGCAGCTGGTTATCATGATAGAAGTTGAGGTCTTTGTTACTTTTTCACATGTGTAGCTATTGAAGGATGGATTATTCTCGTTACTGGAGTTCATGAAGAGGCACAAGAGGATGATCTACAGAATTCATTTGGTGATTTTGGAGAGATGAAGAATCTACACTTGAATCTTGACCGTCGTACGGGATTTGTCAAGGTATGGAAATTGTTTTCATGCTGAAATTGGAGTGTTTGGATCGAATTAGGTAAATTAAAATGAAGAGTTTGCATCTGAATATGTCTTTTACGTCATTAGATTAATTTATAAACTTAAATGCTTCCATTTTCCTTCATTAGGTTACTTATGGAAGCCTGAAATAAGTTGGTAAATTGTGATTTGTGTTTCATTTTTTGATCAAGGGATTGCCTTATACTTTACGTTATTTGCGTGTGGAGAAATAACCATTGGCATATTTATTTCACTAGTGATTGCCTTTCTGTTGATTTCTTGAATTTTTAGAATGGACGTGGTTCTCCTTTTAAATTACCTAAGTGTGGCTCTATTATTCATGTAGGGAAGACGTTGCTCTTAATCATGGAAAGGAATATAGAGAACAGCATATTTTCTGTGGAAATTTTACTCAATAGCCACGGTCTTGTAGATTTATTGTTTGTTTGTGTGGATTAATAACGTAATTTGCTAAGCACTGTCCTCTTATTTTTTTTTTTTTTCATACCGTGTAACTGTTCTGCATTCAGGCCTTTTGTTCTTATTTTCTCTTAATGTGTTACCCAAGTCTTTCTGTGAGCAGCTTAGCTGCTACCTCAAAATATGTTTTGCTGCTCTTTAGGGCTATGCTCTAATTGAATATGAGAAGTATGAAGAGGCCCAGGCTGCTATAAATGAAATGGATGGAAAAGAGTTCCTTGATCGTATCGTAAATGTTGATTGGGCATTCAGCAAAGGTCCGTTCAGAAAGAGGAATGTGAGGAGGAGGTATGCTTTCCAACTCCCTTGTGTTTTTAGGAATACTTGTATTTGTTCTGCTTGCAAATGTTCAGCTTTTTAGCTGCCTTATCCCTTGTGACCATGACCATTTGCTCAAACTCCCTTGTGTTTTCAACATTACTTGTATTTGTTCTGCTTGCAAATGTTCACCTTTTAAGCTGGCCCTATCTCCTGTGACCATGACCAGTTGGACTGTATATCTCGTTTTTCTATGTATGATATAGAATGTAAATTGTAGAACTCTCGAAGGAAATCTTTTGTACGGGCTATGTTTTTTTGTTTTTATTTTTTCGGAATCTACACTGGAAAACAGTGATTCTTTCAAATATGATAGATATTGATCCTCTTTAAATACGATAGATCTTGAGTAATTGTTGAACTTGACAAAGTCTTTCATGAGGAGAAATACATGGATAAGAACTATGAGCTCTTGTATACTTTTGCCTCTTTTTCCTTGGTTAAATTTTTATCTGACATTTTTTTTTTCAATTTATTGCTAAATTGTTTGTAGATCACCTCGTGGTCATCGCTCTAGGAGTCCGCGAAGGAGATTTTGATGACAGTGTTGTGTGAGAGTAATTGTGATGTTGAAGTTTTAGGGTAAAGGATACTATTTTGAACCTTTGTCTTTTAGTTAACAATTGTATGTTCGATGTTTTCCGTCCAGAAATTTTCGATCGTGTCCACTTTTCCGTATTGTATTGGCTGGGTTTCTTGGGGTGATGCTCTTGAATTGTGTTCGCTATTTCTTTAGTTTAGTACTAAACTTGATTCATCTTTTGGACCCTTTTAAGAATTTCATCATGTTGCGAATCACTTGTATCGGGTTTGTTCTTAGTCAGTCGAAGCACTTTTGTGTTCCAATTGAAGCTTCATGCATGCAGCAGATTAACTTTTATTATTGTTTTTACTGAAATTTATTATCTCACACTGATTTAGAGACCGAGTTAATACACATTAGAAAATCCCAATCCGAGGCTCAATAAGGAAAAGGAAAATTTGCTATATTCTCTGTTATAAACGTATATAAGATGCTATATATGTTAGCTTCTCGACATGTGAAGTTGTCTGCGTTGTTAAACTTGTACGACTGACATAAGGCATATTAATTCTTTCCTCGACTACACAGGTAGAGTGTCTATCCTACTTGATAATATTATACGTCATGTTCTTTGTATACGTTAATCTTCGTTCTTGTGGTACGATCCCCATTAAGTCCAGTAGTTGGCTGTGCATAAGGTCATTGGGGTAGCAATCGTGCGCGACCATACCCAACTTCCGTCTTCCTTCCGACTCAATTCTGCCAGCTGCAGGACAGAAATTTTTATTATTTTTCTAATAAAAAATATACTTAATTTAATATGAGATGAGCTACGTTGATCAGGCTTCAGGCAGCAAATTTTCTTGCCTCAATATTCAACTGTTGAATTAAAATACCCAAAACAAAAATTATTGATCAATGTACCCTGTTATCTTGCAGCTCATATATTAACGAGTCTCCAGAAAACGCGATTGGTCTGGTGGATGATACCTGCGAAACATATTTCATCAGACTTATGTAAGGCTAAATTACAGTTGAATCAAAACTTACCATGTATTAACTCAATGAAAACCCTGTCACGATATAAGTGCACGTAAACTACTAACCTTCGGGTTACAATTTTGATCGATCCTTGTCGATTCCTCGGCTTGAAATCCCCCCTTTTCCTCCTTCCCATCACGCATGTAAGGAAACCCGAGATCCTCCCATTTCCAGTCTCCATCATCGGAGTACCTCAAGTATACATTCCCATCCGACCCGATCAAGAAGAGCTCGGTCCCCAAAAAGCATGGCCCGGGTGCACCCACCAGTCTCACGTTGACATGCGGCCTGCCGTGCTCTACCCACTCCCACCCGTCGCCCGGGCTCCACCGGTACTCGACCAGCCCACCTTCTTCAGACAGCATGAAGAGGGATCCCCTGAGTGAGCCAGGGGATGGCCTTGCAGGTGTCCCAGTCGATCTTGATAAGATTAGGTGCTGCGACTGGTGGTGCTCGTGCCACAGGCCCGTCACCTTGTTGTATTGGTAGAGTCGACCATCTTTGCCAATCACAAACACAATGTTGTTCCTGAAGCCTTCTTGATCGACTATGCTGGAGACTCTCGTGCCGGGTGGGCTTTTGCAGTCTTTCCATTTGAAGTTGCGGAGGGCCACCTGCACGCCCAACCAAACACATGATTAGGAATATAAAGAAATTATGTTGCAAAGCATTTTTTATGTTAGTTAGAGAGAACTTACACTGAACTCCATGAGCTTCCCGCTTTTGCTGACGAAGAAAATGACGTTCTCCGGCCAGACACTGTTTTGTTGGCCTAGCATCCCGTCCCACTCCCACGGCCGGCCAGTAGCCACGGCCTTCCCCCTTGTAATCGAGCTACAGTTGATCCACACCAAGTCCTCCCCTCCCCTCTCCCTTGCAATCAAGCTCCCCCTCTCGTCCACCACAAACAAGCTCCCGTTGTATCTTCCTAGAATGCCTTTTATCTCCAACGGATACTCGTGTTCAAGCCACACCCACACGTTCTCTGTTTTCAAGCACTCGTACGTCAAGCCTTCATCGGTTATGATGAAAAACGACTTCCCCACATGCATTAACCGAAGGCGGAACAGTGTTTTGATCCCCTCGTGCTCGTTTATCAATGAATTAGGCCGCCTTTCGTCCGGGATCAGGTAGTTCTGCTGTGTTTTCCCGTCTTTTCTTCGCCCGAATTCGTCTTTTGTGCCCACCAGGCAGTTAGAGGGCCCACGTTCATGGGTGCAGTACTCGGCATTCCACCCTTCGGACTCTGGGGCGTCTAAGATGGACCAAACGTATTTGGCAGAAGATTTGCGCCTACTGCTGGGAGGCGGGCTCGGCCCGTGGCTTTCTCCCCCGAGGCCCGAAAGGTGGAGCTCAGCCAGCCGGCCGTCGTCTAGTGGGAACATCATTCGTCCGGCCTGCAGCTCGAGGCCCGAGATTCCCCTGGCGACTCTTGCCTGCGCTGGGTGCTCGTGGTTCACCCACTTTTCTTCCGACTTTTGATCTTGAGAGACAAGAAAAAATAGTGAAGAATGATGGAAATTCTTGAAACAGTTAGGACAAAAGGATCTCTTGGGGTTAGCCAAGTAACAAATAACTTATTAGCTTGTGTTTTCGAGTTCCAGAGAGTGATTTGATTTGAATGTTGTCTAAGGTTTCTATTCATCCAAACCCAGTGAACACAATCCATTTAATGAAGTACCTACCTAATTGTGATGTTCGGTAACAAGAAGTGATAAATAAGTCAAGAACAGCGTGCAGCCTGAATTACTAAGATCGAACACAAGCAGCTGTTTACTTAAAGATTGAACCGTCTTTTGATGAAGCACACCAACGGGTTTTTCCTACCTGGACGCTTTTGAAGATGATACTGAAACACAAAACCAGCTTCAGTCGTGACATATAACGAGTTTGAATTTTCAGTAGGCTCGTCTTGAGAAGAAATACAAGTGATTGAGGTCACCAAATGACCTTTTGGTTTCCCGTGAACCACCCATTTCCACTTCCTCTGATGCAGTCGTCTCTCAATCACCTCTCCCCCCTGTATCACATCAAATAGATTGTTCCTTCAAACAATTGTATCTGTGTGAACAAAATAAAAACAGTAGTTCCGAATTTTTACCTTAGTAAAGAAGAACATGGATACTGAATTGGGTCCGACTAGTCCATGCAAGCTGCATGCATTAGATGGTGCTAGGGCAGTATCCTTTTCGGACCCTTCTTGTCGTATATGCTTTTTCCATGCCGGTTTTGATGCCTCGTCATACTCGTAAAGATCTCCTGCAGAACTGTGACACAACATTAACTCTAAATTCACACATTAAAAACAAGTAATTGTTTCTACTATTTTATTTCATTCCCGAATCCATTCATTATGGATCCAAAAACGAGTACGTTCTCACCTAACAATAAACACAAGTCCTGCTCTAATAGCACTAGCATCAGTAACTGCTGCAACCATTGCTCCAGGTGGCCGTCCGTGATTCGTCCAGCTAATCAAGTACGTAAGCTGATTAAATTACACGACCCAGCTTGAACATCAAGGGGTTTCTGGCAATCAAGTTAAACCTCAGGGGTTCTTTTAGCAATTATCCCCCCCTAAGAAACTTATTGCGTCACTGAAAATATGAATTGGAACTATAGAAAGGCCTTAATTTTGTGTGAATAGAAAAATCTCACCTCGGAGGCTCAACCTGAATAAGTTCCAACAGTTGCCCATCTTTTGTGCAGGCATACATTCTCCTGAGTAAATCGAGTTTCAAAAAACGGGGAGCAAATAAAATCATTTCGAAAAACAATGGGGAGCAAATTGAGTTGTGCTTCACTCACGTCCTGTCATTCGAGACAACTCCATTGGAAAGGAAAACGGGAGTACGTTGATTCGTCTCCTTGTCGACGCAATTTAAATACTCTAGCACGAGCTCGACCCATGTTGGCTGTGATTCTGCATTCAGCTGCATCTGAATAAAATCAGCAACACATCAAAATTCAGGGGAGGAGGGCCTTAATAACATCACTCAACCATATGATATCATAATCTTAATTAATTTTTCTCAAATTATATTATCTCTTCCATGGCTTTGTCTCCTTTTGATAAATAGTAATAAACATCATCATCAACCACAACAACAACAATCAATTTTGTTATAAGTAAAATGTAAGATTAGAGAATCGGGGCAAGAGGGTGCAGTCCCACGCATATTAAGCGCACCATAATGATGTTCCATCCCAAAACCAATTGGTGATGGGAGGAGCAGTCCACTTGGCTTATATATACTAGATTCATTTTCCCTATAGAATCAACGTGGGACAACTCACAAGTGATACTCCAAACATAAAACCCTGATTAGCAAATTGAACAAGAATGATGATGATGACGACGACGATTGAGAAAGAAGGTTTGAAAGTAAATTTTGCACCTGATGCAGTTGACCGCCCTCAGACAGAGCAAGAATCCTATGGTTGACGAGAAACACGGAAACGGCATATCCGGCGTACACCGGCAAAGTATGAGGTGCAGTCACCCACTGCAGCCCATTCCAAAACCTCTCATAGATTGACCCACTTTCCCCAGTCACCCAAATTGAGCTCTCAGACATTTTGGTCAAAGAAATCCTTTTCCTCTCTGCCAAAACAGGATATGATGAGATCACTTTCTTCTTCTTTATCTTCTTCTTCTTCATCTTTTCTGTGTTGTCCACTTGATCAGTAGAGCCCTCAATCTCTCTGTCTTCATGATGATGATCAGAGCTCTGGATTGTGTCAACCACAGTACAGTTATCATTGACACAGGAGATTAGATCATAGGGAAGTTTCAGCTCAACCCATGTGTTGGATTCCTCACTGAACTCCCAGTATCTTGTGTTTTTCTGCACAAATTTTTTGTCAACTCTTTGCCTCAAGTATTGATGCATATGATAACATGATGAATCACAGTCAGAATTTGTTGTAGTTTGAGTTGTTAAGGACAGAAAAGCTATGGAAAATAGTATGATTACTGGATGGATGACAGACATTTAGAGCAGCATAAATTAATAACAACACATCCAAAAGGGATTTTTTTTTTTTTTTTTTTTTTTGGGTTTTGTTTTGTTTTGTTTTTCTTATTATGTAAATGGGAAAAAAAGAAAAATCATGGGCAATTTTAAGTTTTATGCTAATCTTTTTTGATGTCCCATATGGGCCTCCAAGAGGAGGAAGAAAAAAAAAAAAGAAGGGGCTGAAATATAGAAGCAACAGAAAAGAAAGGACAGTGGAAGTACAAAAACTGAAGTGAAGGGCAAAAATTTGGTGATGGTCCCTGTAAAAGGAGAATAGATAATTTTTTTATTTTTTTTTTTATTTTTTTTTACTGCTACTTGCCTTTAAAATTAACCCATGTCATTTTTGTCAACTCATAATCTCATCTCATATATATAAAGTGGAAAAAGTTTGAAGTTTACTTTCTTTTTGATTGGGTGACTTAGAAGTTTTTTTTTTTTTTTTTTT